TGGGCTGATGATTCAATTGGGGGTAGCCACTGCCAGATGATAGCATTTTCTGTTTTCTTGGAAGGTCAGGCTAAGGTTTCGCTAGATATTGTTTTTTATTTATTTAAAATACATCTATTTAAAAAAAAAAGAATAAAACTTCTACTAGGTGGGCCTGACTATTTTTGTGTTTCCCACCCCACAATAGAGAAAGTGGAGTTCAAAGAGCTGCAAAAAGAAGTTAGGTGGCCACACAGAGGTGCAGGTTGCCTACTCCTACTCTTACCGCTGCGCCACTGAAATCTACCCTGAACCTGTCCACAAATTCTTGCTTGTTCTCATCTCCTCTCTCTCTCTCTCTCTTACCATTATTGGGACACAACGCTCCAACAGTTCATATTGAAGTAGTTTGTCCTGAATGGTCACCAGCCGCTCTGGGCATTCTGGGAAACTAGAGAAAAGACAACAAAGGGGATATGTAGGGCAGATCAAGAACCCATTAACTGTGAGGCAAGCAGTGGAGCTGGGATGGTTTGGAGAAGAAAGAAACAAGGGTGGGCTGGCAATCTTTCTCTAGAACCCCGTCCTTTACTCCGATAATTCAGAAAACAAGCAAGATGGGAGAAGGGTAGGAAAGTGTGAACTATGGTTGCAACCATAGTTGCAGAGGGCATTTAGACCATTGTAATGGGCACCATCATAATGGAGCAGGATTAAAGGACAAGGACAGGAGGAAATAAAGTGGGAGGGAGACAGCAGGGCTATAAAAGTTAGTGCTAGGGAGCAGAGGCCACACTCAGTAACTAATCTGGGAATGCTTGGGAGAGCAGACCTTTGAATCTGCATAACTGAGACTGTGCAGAAGATGGCAATTTACAGAATCTGACAGTTCACACAGACATATGACAAGGCTGAATTTTCTACACTGAAAAGCATGTGAATTCCCAGACCTTATGGTGAAGAGGTCCTGTTTGGGGAACACCCCGAGGCCAAGAGGAGTATGTATATATTTCTCTATGACTTCTACAGATAAGATCTTCTACACACCTAGCTGAGAAGCTAGCCCTGCTCATTCATTCATTCATTCATTCATTCATTCATTCATTCATTCATTCATTCATTCATTCTTATTTCTTGTATTTATATAGCCGCCCGTCTCATACAAAGTGACATTTTTCATCCTTCTCTTCCTCAAAAAACCTAAAGATAGAATTCTGAGTTCCCATAAATACTGGTTCCAGCTAAATAAAGCTCATCCTGAAAAGGCAGTTTAGTCAAACAGTAGAATCGGGTCCAACTCCAACACAGTGTCCTTCAGAGGCAGAAGAACAAGACAGCTCAGAGTTCCCAGCCAGCCTCCTGGAGGCAATGTTGAACAAGTCTAGCAGTAGAATCCTGACAATTCTGAAGGGCAGCATATTGGGAGAACCTGCTCTGTAGAAATCCAGAGCTGTTGCCAAGCATAATGACAGACATTTTATTCCTTAAAACTTCTGAAAGAGCTCCCTCCTAAAACAGGCCCAGCCAGGCTCACTTTTGGAGTGTAGCCCTCCAGACAACATGCAAAATCTGCCGTGGCCTTGGAGTCAATAGAAGTTGTGTGTGCCTAGTATAACTGCTGTGAAGCAGAGACATTAGCTAAGTAACCCCAAGCAACACTGACATAGACTCTTCACATATTGGTGGTGATGGTTTTTTTAAGCCTCCATGGAAATAACATTTTGGAAATAGGCATGAAGTCAGGAGGAATTATATTGCTTAAAAACAATCACTAAGCCAAACTGGATCTTTATTCAAAAATAGCCCCATTGAGCACAATGGGAATAACTCCTGCTACATCTGCTAGGACTGCAAGCAACCTCAGTGTTTAGCCAATAACTCTCTATGGGCTGTTCACTGTGGCTACCTTACTGTGCATCCCTCCAATCCTTGAGTCGACATAAAAGTATGCCAGCATAATTTGGGCTGTACCAACTGGCAAGCTCTAATCTGCCTCAATAACAAGACTGGTGAGTAGTCTTGCCCTAAGAGTTTTACTGCAGGACTATTTAAGGGCAGCGATTGATGGATTCCCCAGCTGTGTTTCCTCTCTCTCAGCCAGAACCCCAGCTGGTGGGGAAAAAACCACCAGTCTTCTTAATATGTGGTACAGTGGGCCTGGGTAAACATGGGCATTGGCCCGGGACAGAGGCTTTAACCACCTGCCATGCTGCCCAAGTGCCAGATGCCTGACACAGACGTGCCTCATCTCAGTAAGCTGTCACTCAGGCTTTTTTTTGAACATGGGTCTACTGGTCTTAACATGTGCTCAAAAGTAACCTGGTGGAGAGAAGGAAGGATATGGGAGGAAGTGGGAGGGAGAGAACTCACAAGGCACCTTAAGAGAGCTTTTTCCTACTTCATCCCAGGCCCATCCTCCTTCCCACAAACCTGTCAGCCAGCCTGATTTTTTAATGTGCTTTTATCAGACTTCCAGAAAACCAGTAGATGTATGTTCAGACATAGCTTGAGTGAGAGATCATAGACATGGTGGAGGAGCTGGAAGAGACATATGGAAGCACGTCCTTCTGCCTTGCCCTGGCACCTAAAAAGAGAAACTGACAGAATTCTTATTAATTTCATGCAACTTCCCAAATATCCCAAATCAGTTAAGTGCTGGCAACACTGGTAGACTACAGCACCAAGAAGTATCTCACAAGATCACAAAATGTCACTGGAGTAGGTAACTGGCACCTCCTTTCCAAAGAAATAAAAGCAGTAGGAAGTATGGCCACACAAAAGTTTCTATCAGCAGAAGCAGTGAGAAATCTAGAATGCACTCATATGGATCAGAGCCAGACACACAGCTGGCAGCCAAGTTCTCTTCCCTGGTTAAAATCAACCTTGCATGCAGAACACATTAATCCTGCTTTTTAAACACAGGTTTACCAGTCTTTCAAAAGACCGCTAAAAACATTTTGTTTTTTTTAAAAAATCTGATGCTGTTCTGGAAGAACACTAGACTTATGTTGGTGCTTCGTGAAGCAATGGTCAAGCATGAAGGAGGTAGATGCTTCTGCATAAGCCAGGTACCTAATCTCTGCTGTAGCTCACCAAAAATGACTGCCAGGATAGGGAGGAGGGGGAGATCCCAGTTATATGAGGAGGTCTGCCCACGACTGCTAAAAGTGCCCAAGGAGAGCTGGTTAGCTCTCAGCCGGACCACATCACTACCAACACAGACAACAAGGTAATACAGAATGTTTGTATGGTAACATTTGTGTCAAAATAAAAAGAAAAACACTGCTTTAAAATCAGAACAGCCAAAGATAAATGTTAGCTATCTCCACAGTTCACTAAGATAAGCATCTTTGTGCTGAAATTAGGAACATGAGGATGAGCCCTCTCTTGTATGTCCCTAAGCAGACTTTTTGGAAATATTTCTAGGCCTTGTCAGTCCTTCCTAAGCTGATGCTCTACAAATATTTTGGACTTCAACTCTCATCATCCCCCTCACTGTGAGGTGATAGCTGACTGGGAGATGATGGAAGTTGTCCAGTGCATCTGGAGGACAGCGGTTTGAAGAAAGGCTGTTACAGGATTGGAAAGTAGAGATCATGAATTCACTGATGTTATGAGGAGAGAGGAAGAGTGATTTAGAGCTACTGCAGACTGGAAGTGAAGAGTCAACTGTTATTGCAAATACAAAATTGCTGATGCAGTGATTTCACAACTTTAGAACACCTATATATAGAAAAGAAATAACTTTTCGAATGTTATTAACGCCTTTCCCTATTCCGGTGAAGACAGCCATTTTCTAGAAGAAGGGAAATTCTTTTCATTGCTTATACTTGGGACCTATTCACATTTGCAAAGAAGAAAATAACACTATTCTTTCTACTTCCAGCCTGAAGTAGTGCATTTAAAAAAAAAAATCATTACATGTAGTCCCTTAGCTTTGTTGATTCTACAAAATGACTCTAATATTATCAGAGTGGAATAGGCATCACTTTTGCAGGGTTAATCCCCATGCTTCTCTAATGCCTTCATGACCCGTTCTCTAAGTAGAATCTATTCACTCTATACAATCTGGCTCGGAGAGGATACTATGGGTCCATAGAGAGATCCAGCAAGTGGGGACCTACAAATGGCATTTTTAGTGGCAGACCCTCACTTTTGCACAGCTTACCCCCCGAGATCAAACTAGCCCTCACCCTATCATCCTTTAGGAAGCAGGTTGAAACCATCCTCTTTTACAGGCATTTGGGAACTGGCTTTTAATGGAAGATAGCAGAAGATGTTTTAAGATTTTAACATTTTAAATGTCAGCCCTTTGAGGTAGTCCAGACAAGAAACCAATACCATGAGTAGTAACACTACCTTTATTGCAAGGTTATAGTAACAGAATCTTGCAAGCCTGAAAGCACATTTCTTCCCGCTTGCCTTTACTTTCCAGGGAACTAAAGAGGGTCCCTTCTGAGACGCTTACCACAACTCCATTCCTTCTGCGGGCTGAGATGTCCCTTATCTGACTGCTGCCCTGGCTGAGGCTCTTCCTCCTCCCGTCTGTCAAGGATATTCCCACAGACCATTACATCAATCTATATTGATTTTATGTATGTTTTTAATGTAACTGGTTGTAAGCCACCAAGAATTATTTAAGTAGGCAGCATACAAATAATTGTGATTGATTGACTGACTGATCTTGTTGCCAGTCTAGAGTGAGCCTCTTCTGCCTCACACGTTCCCTACAAGACTCTATTAATTTAGAAATGGCAGAACGGGTAAGGATCCATACAGAAATCAGGACAGGAATGTTAGATGCTGAGTCTATTTAAGTATCTAATCCTGTCCTAGATGAAAGAGGATAAGATCCATGTAAGCAACACAATCCAATGCAAGTTTAATATGAAGTGAATTTGCTTGTGTTCAATGGGGCTCCCTTTCAGGTAACAAGCATTAAGACTAAAGTCAATATTACCCAATGGCATTTCTTTCTCAAAGTTTAAGAATGGCTGCATTCAACAAAGAAAGATATTATTTTAAGATGGAAACTTAACAGTGAGCAAGGGTCAAGGGTATAGGGCTACTATTTAGGACTGGAGATGAAGAATCCAGTGAGGAATCAAGGAAGAAATAAAAGGATCATGGTCATCATATCCAGGGAATTATGTTGAGATTACACGGAAAAGTGAGCCAAGTGGGTGGAATAAACACACACACCACAGAATTACAGGCAGCACAAAGGGAAATAAGAACAGGATTATATATTTACCCACATCCAAACCAAGGTTACTCTTCCTCCCTCTGCCAGGAAAAAAAATCAGTGGTTTTGGAATGATGAAACATATTCAGTTCAGACTTTAATATTGCTTTCAATGGATTACAAAAGGGAAAAGCAATCCAGCAGGGACCAGGCTACTGCATCCTCAGATTTCCTGCCATATGATTTCACATAGGAACCTTTCTTCCAACCTATTTTCTTATGAAGTCCATAGTATCCATCATCATAAGGCAGATCAATGCTACAAAATGAGTGAACCCAGACACAATCAAAACTGAGGATGAGCCTCCTGGAAGTGCACTCACATACGGGTAGTCCTTGGGTTACGATGGCAGTTAGGACCGGGATTGCCATCGCTAAGCAATGAAGTCATAAAGTCCAAGATGTGCTTTATTCCCCCAAGACACACGGTCGTTAAGTGGGAAGAGGCAGGAGTCCCAGGTAAGGAGCATGGGAGTGCCACAGGGGGGTCGGGGGAGGGCCTGGGAGGGCCAACACAGGCCATGCACGAGTTGGAGGAGGCCAGGGGAGGCCCAGTGGAAGCTGCGCATAGGTGGGGGGCTACAAAAGTGGGAGTGACTTACTGGAGTAACTTGCGACCTTCCCTACTGGCTTCCCCATTGACTTTGCCTGTGGAAAGCCAGCTGGGAAGATCACAAATAACAATCACATGACTGTAGCTCCCTGCGACGTCGTAATCACAAGCCAGGCACCTGAGTGCCCAGATCACGACCATGTGACCGCAGGGTGCTGCAGTGGCCAGAACTTTGAGGACTGGTCGTACATCCATTTTTTCAGCGCTGCTGTAACTTTAAACGGTTGTTCAATAAAAGGACATAAACCAAGGAGTACCTGTATCATATTTTGGTCAGGTATACAATGGTGTTTCCAAGACAGAATATTGGGGTGGAGGGGGGAAATCTATACAATCCGTTTGCAGCAGTTCAAATCCAACTCTGATCTTGAGAAATCTGTCTCCTATCTATATCTGATGACTATCTACTTAGAGGAAAACTCCATTGCCTTCATGGATACTTCAAGCAAGCACATATGGCAGGAATCATCAACTTTGGAAGTTTGTAGGCACGTTTTGGTATCTAAACAGACACCTGAGCCAATCACAAAATGAGTATTATGGTTCAGCAAGATGACAATAAGTGAGATACTGATTTTGGCAAGAGAAGTCCCATTCCCATTTCAATGACTAGAGAAAGTATCTCCATACTCTAAATCAGTGTTTTCCAACCTTGGCAACTTTAAGATGCGTGGACTTCAACTCCCAGAATTCCCCATGCTGGCTGGGGAATTTTGGGAGTTGAAGTCTACACATCTTAAAGATGCCAAGGTTGGAAAACACTGCTCTAAGGAGGGAATCCTCCCTTTACAAAAACATCCCTGAGGGAGGAATTCCATCCTCTGCAATTTCTTTTCATCGGTGTCAGCCTTTTGAGGTAGGCCAGGTCAAGAGATAGGTGCCATAGAATTACTGAAATTTTACTTTGTTGTTATGGGATATTAGAGGCTTGAAAGCCTGACAGAATTTCTCTCTCCCTCCATCTTATACTAAAGACAGTTAAGGTCTGGCAATCTGAAATATCTTCCTCATCCCCTCCTGTCTTTCCAGGCTAAGCTGATATTTTCATAATGGCTGTCACATACCTCTTCAAGGCCATCTCCATACTCCTCTACCATAGAGAACTTTTGGTTTACGTTATGGTAGCTAAGGCAGTGGTTCCCAACTGTTTCCTTATGTTTACCACTATATCATCACTGAAAACTTTTGTAAACCACCATGTAAGTCAAGGATCAACAAGACACCACCAGAGTATATCTGCAAAGCCCCCACACCTTAAATAAAATTAAAATTACTTCACTTAAAAATGTTTTAAGATGGCTAAATCTCATGAAATTTTGGTTTTCCCACTGGATATCTTTCAGTGGGAATTTTGGTGAAAACATCAAATTCTTACAAGGCTTTGAGTGAGATTTGGGAATCTCACAAGATATTGCCCATTGCAATATACGTTTTTATTTTGGCATGTGCAGCATGGGTTACCTGCAGTAACTTGGCAGAAGTTCAAGGGAAGTATGACTGTGACTTGAGAGACAAAGATAGAAAGGAAGTGAGGCTCACCCTATAGAGTGAGTTTTTAGGCATGTCTACATGTACTACAAGTTATGTTAGGATTTCTGAAGGAACAGAACATAAAAACATAGGACTAAATGTACAGTACAGAGGAACTACAAGGGCTGGAGGCAGTGGTTGAAAGGAGGGCAATACTTGGTCTGTGACTGGTTATGTCTTTTAATAAGGTTTAGATGTGATACACCAGGTTCAGATGAACCTAGACCAAGGGAGGCAACTTGATATTCTGATTTTGGACTATGGATCCATTGGCCATGCTGGCTGAGACAGATGGGACAGGAAGTCTGAAACTTCTGGAAGGCATCAGGTGCCTGGCCCTATCTAGCTTGCATAAAGCAGGGAGATTACTTGGCCTTTCATCATTAACCAAGACCGTTTTATTCACATAACCAATGCATTTTCTTTCATTTAAAAGCATCCTGAGTAATTACAACCATTGATCAAAAACAAAACGAAAGCCCAAGTCCATGATTATTGAAATGAGGTACTACTTTAGGGAAAATATGTATTTGTGCCTTAGAAGAATTTGTGAAAATCATCAGCAAATCAGAGGCATGGTCACTTCCATCCTAACTGTATTGATTAAGAGAGCTGTGTTAAACTGAGTCCTGATAAAGCAGGAAAAGGCTCAGTGCTTGGTTTCCAGCAATGGCTCGCCACCTGCCTGGAGGAAATTCTGAAGCAAGATAGAAAGGTAAAATCCTTCTCATTTCACCTAACCTGTCAGTATTTGGTATTCTAAAGCCCAGTGTTTCTGAACATGGCCATTCTGTGTAGTTCCTGGTTAAGAGCTATTAATCCTTCATTAATTTGTCTTCTAATAGTTGTTTAAAAGCAGCCAGCTGCAGTTCAAGAAGATCCCTTATGAAATATTGTTTGTTATATAAGCCTCTCATTTTATTTTTAATCTCTGGAGTAGATATTGTTGAGATTTTCATCTACGCCACACCAAGGACTCAGAGTGACTTACAATTTGAAATACCCATTATTCTTGAAAAACTTTCACTGGGTGAAAAAGAGTAAAGGTTATTTCATGAATGATTTACTATAGTAGAGTAGAAATCAAAACAGACAGGCAGAGAAAATCTCAATTTAAGATTAAGAGTATACAAAACTGAGATTAAGAGACCATAATCTTAAAAAAAAATCCTGAAAGTTAAGAGGCCTAAAAATTAAAACAAAACATCTCAGCTGTTACACTTAAGGCTCAAAACCCCACCCTTTCCCCCAGATACCTTTTATCCCATGGGCAGCAAAATTCTGTCATCCGTTTATCCCAAATCAGTCCAGTTCCCGTGGGAGCAGCACATTCTGTAGTGAGATCCTGTTTAAGAAAGAACCACACAAAACAGTGGTGTATGAAGGAAAAACATCTCTTCTAATCCTAATCCTCCCCTCCAAGGCCATACCCTAATACTCCCTCCCTCTCATTCTTGCTCATAGGAGCAAAATTAGATATGATATAATCTCCTCTCTTAGCCCTTCCCAACCCAATGCCCTCCAAATAAATTAGACTAAATTCTTGATCACGCTAGCTGAGTATAATAGTTTAAATTCAATACATTTGGGGAAAGGAATGCATGCAAAATGACAGTATCTGTGCATAAGGGGGATAAATAATAATAATAATGACGATGATGATGCTGTTGCTGCTGCTGCTGCCAATCAGAGAATTTCAAGGTGGGTTTATCAGTAGGCTTGAGGGCAGCTCAAAGAAAGCATTCATATTTGAGTGTCTTAAAATGAATAACTTTCCTTATTCCATTTTAGTGAATATGTGCTTGGGTTAGGCTAGTTAGGTTAGTTATGTACTGCTAACTAGTTTAACACCAGTGTTAAATTATTTCAAGAAATAATACTCTGAGGGCAAAGGAATGTCCAAACAGTCTACAAGAATTGAGTATACTTAGTGAATACAGGCTGGTTGTTGAGAAGAACCAGAAAATTTAGGTGAGGGAGAAGAGAATGAGCAGAAAAGCAGAAAGCTGGCTGGCATCCTAAAGATGAGTCCCCCTTGCAAGATGTTGTTGCAGGACCCACAAAAGGAAAACATTCTTGTACATGAACAGAGTATCTTTTCATCATCAGGGAGCAAAATAATGTGGCTCCCTCTAATGCTTATAGTAACCAAAACTCATCTTTTTTTTTTTCAGGATAAGGAATAGAACTACTAGGTGAACTTGAGCCCTGGCCATTCATCTTAACAAAATTTCAGTGCCGCTTTCATCTCTCTCAGCAACACAGTTACAAAAGATCCTAGACTATTTAAAAATGCCACTTATGATGACTTCACTGTGACCATCACTGCAAGAAGGCTTGCATCTTCCAGTTCTCTCCCAAGAGTCAACGAACAATCCACAGCTGCTTTTTCAGCCCAGAGCTTGGGAATTGAAGGGATCTACCTACCAGTCGCTGCAGGCCCAAGAGCAGATCCTCAGCATCTTTGTTCAATCTTTTTGCCCGTCCTTTCCGCTTGGCCTCTGGAAGCCCTCCCTTTCGGTTAGCTTTTTTCTGGGGAAGCCAAGAGGATATTGCCTTGTGTCAGAATCCGCGCAATCAATCAATTGCCTTGCTAGTTTGCTTGCTTCGTTTCTGCCATTACAGTGACGAGGAGGAAGGGAGGGAAGGTTGGGAGGTTAACTGTTAGGCGCAGATGGACTGTTATCTGGTTCTTAGGAATGCCCAAGGTCGTACCAGCGTAAGACCCGGAGAGAATCTTTGACATGCGCAAGAGAGACTCAAAGACAGAAGGGGGGAGGTGAAATGGGAATGAGGTAAAACTAAGTTTTGGCGCAGGCAGGACTCAGTTCCAGCTATCGCTTTAGAGCTGTGCACTACTTTCCAGTAAATGAACCTTTCTTTGAACTTGCATTGGTTTCAATGGGAGTTGCTTTCATTGGGAACTGAGTACCGTGGTTCTTACACCTTGATACACATCCCTGCAACAGAAGTAGCAAGGCTCTCCCTTCTTCCATGGGACAGAAAGGATAGCTGCCTTGCTCACCCAACCATACTCCCAATGAACTATTGCTTCCCACAGTCTCCATCACAACAATAGGTTACTTTACCAATGGAGCCTGAATCTTCAAAGCAGGCACAGATAAGGGATCCAACACTGAGGCATTTCCCAAATCAGAAGCCATTGTTGGGGGAAGAGGTACTGCCTCCTCCAATCCTAGGGAAGAGAACAAAAACACCCATTACAGAAAGTTTCATAACTGAAGCAGACGCTAGAGCAGTGTTTCTCAATCTTAGCAGCTTGAAGATGTGCGGACTTCAATTCCCAGAATTCCCCATGCTGCATGGGGAATTC